GACCCTTTTCATCCTTTGGCCTATTCCTGGGTCAGAGAGCAACAGCACTACCTAAATTGTATTGGCATGCTATTCCATTCACCTAAACCTGGCTGTCCAATATAAATTGTGGTTGTTGTTATGTTTCTATAGAGAATTGCATTCTTTTTCCTTGATCCACATGGTAGAAATGAAGGAGGTAGAACACTGAAAAATAATTAAGATTGGCATAGACCAACAGCAGCAACTTTTATTTACTTTAAATAAAATGCCCTAAAATGTTACTATTTAATTGTATAGTACCAAAAGTGTGTTTAGATATTTTACAGGTAGCTAAGACAAGGTCCCAGCTCTTAAAAGGTAGGCCAGATCTACACCTAAAACTTAGTTCAACCTAGCTACACCACTCAGGGCTGTGACAAATTTCACGCCTTCTGTGACATAGTTAGATTGACCTAACGCCCCCATAGATGTATTTAGGTCAATAGAATTCTTCTGTTGACCTAGCTACTGTCTCTCAAGGAGGGGGTTTACTACAGTGATGGAAAAATCATTTCCGTTGCTGTAGTGTCTACACTACAGGGCTAAAGTGGTGTTGCTGCCTCTGTAGCGCTTGTAGGGTAGACATCACCCTTATACCAAAGTAGATGCCAGACAAATGAAAACTTTCTGATTGGTGTTATCTGAAGTTGTATATGCACAGGGTATGTTTTGTCTTACGCATTTCTTATCCTGGTTTACAGGAACACTTTCAAAAATTACATGTTGATTAGAAAGAAATGGAAAGAGTGTTTGTTGAATTATGGATCTTTCCTGAATTAGGTATAATGGTAATTTGTGTGGGAAAGGGGAGACGATAATAACCTTTCTCAAAGGTGGCATAAGATGCGAAATGTACTATACGCTGACCAAAAGGATGACCTGTCTAAAACGGTGGTAAGTGTATTCACAGCTGAACATCGAAGGGATGGAAACAATGTAAATAAGATCTCAAGCTCAGGATGGCTTTCATGAGAACAATTTATTTAATTAGATAAATAAGTGATGTCATGAAAACAAACTGAAAGAGACTGTCAGTTGGACTGCTGGACAGATGCACTCAGATCAAGATGATTTAGAAACTTTTTTGTACCCTGTTTATTTAACAGGTAAATTCCTAAAATTACTATACTGGACAAAGATTAGAGAAAATACTTTCTTTAACCTTTCAGTTTTGTTTACTTTGTGGATTTTACAGTGTATTTTTATTACCCTTTTCATGTCATTTCCTATATAGTTGGTGAGTCAGCTCTCTCATTTCTGTAAAATTTTCACACATCAACAAGGAAGAGGGAAAAATGTTTTAAAAGTAGGAAAACAGGATGCAAAATCACAGAGATTGACAGGGAGACTTATGGACTAGTATAATACATACAAGTAATTTTATCTTTCCTTTTGAAATTGACTAAATTTCAGTCTGATTGTCTCCCTGTATCTCAAGATGCCTACTGCAAACTTTACCCCATGAAAGCTCTTGTCCAAACAGGATATGATTTATACTGCTTATTTTTGCCGTGTTGTGTTTTTTTTCTTACTGAAAGATAAAAATTACTGATTTATTTAAAATAACTTGAAATTTCTGGCTGTTGCTTTGGAATAAGTGTTAAGCCAATTTGCGGGAAGAGATACACAAAACTCTATACTTGACTAAATGGGGTGGAAGTTATACAGTATGGAAAGTTGCATGTTCCAAACCCCTGTATGACCTTTATCTATAGAGATGCAATACAAAAATGTCAAGGTTGTGGCTGGGCTTTCCAAAGGAGCCTGTGTGAGTTAAAATCCCCAGCTGTTATTGAATTTCAGTCAAAGTTTGGCACTTAATTTGCATGCGCTCCTTTGGAAAGTCCAGCCTAAATATTAATATTTTACTATAAATAGGTGAGCTGGTAACATTAAGTTTGTAAAACTGTATTTGGCTTGTGAAAATGGTAGAATGCTTGGTCACTACCTTACAGGCACAAATGGATTAAAATGTCAGATCAAAGCCCTCGCTAATAGTATTCTGTTCCCCCCCCACCCCTTCTCTTCCTGGTCCACTGAATTCAGTAGGCTATTAAATAGTGTTCTTTGCTAGATTTAACATACTTATCAGTTATTTTATTTTAATATTGTAGCAGTTGGGGGCCCTAGTCAGAGATGAGTATCCCATTGTGCATAGATATCAGTCATACAAACAAGTAACACACAGACAATATTTGCCCCTGAGAGCTCAGAATTGTAAGTTTATGACCAGATGTGACAGAGAGATGAAACAGCCAAATAGTGGTGGTTGTGTGAGGATTCAGCTCATCACCTCCCTAGTCATTATCTCAGTAGTTAAGTTTTTTTTTTTGTAAGCAGAGGGATTTGAAGGGAGGTGAAAGTAGTGGTTCTACCAATTTTGTGATGGGCAGTTTTTCCCATAGCAAAAAGCATAGAGGCATGTGTCAGAGGAAGTGGGTGATTGAGGTTGGTGTCTTCATTGCACCATTGACCTCACTTTTTCTCTGTTAAAGTAAAAATGTTTTGGAAGAGTAGGTTTAAAGTATGAAGGACCTTAAAGGTGAGGACAAGATCCTTGTGTTTGATGCAAGGGAGAGTGTAGAGGCATGCAAAGTGGGGAACAAAGCGGTTAGAATGAGTCAGGAAGATTGTCCTACCAGCAGCTTTGAGTGGACTTGACCAGCCTGAGACTGCAGCAATTGTGCCAGAGAGGTGAAGTTTGTTAGTTGAAATGTGAGATAAAGACTTGGACAAGAACTTCGAAAGCCTAGACAGACAGGGCAATGCTGGAAATAATGTGTAGGAAGCAGTGGCAAGATTTAGAGACAGTCTGGATGTGTGGGTCCAAAGATAGGGCTGAGTCAAAGATGACACCCAGGTTATTATTTTGTTTTGAAGGCAAGTTGCAGTTTTACAGACAAGAGCTGCAGAACTGTAAATCACCAACAGCACTTCGCAACTGACGTGAATCTGTGTATAGCAATATGAAACTTTGTTCTCTGTTCCCATATTAAATGTTTGATCCAGAAGGACAACAACAAATAATGCCCTGCCAAATGCTTACTTTAGTGTCATTACCCACACGTTATTAGGTGCTATAAGAGGCCACCTGCATCTGCGTAAGATCTTCTGTCTTATCTGCTGTGTTTAATAGACCATTTTTCCTGAAATAGGACAGAATTTTCAACTACTTTGGCAAAGGTTATACATTATTGAAGACTTGGTTCAGTGTACATGATTTAAAGATGGATTTATATGCATCAAGATTTCTACAGTTCTAAGATGGATTAGTAGAAATGCTTTGTGCTTCCAGTTCTTGAGTGTTGGGCTAGAGTAACTCAGTTTGAGATGGCTAAAGTGGAAGCATTTTCATTTTACATTTAAAATAAATATGAATTAGCTACTTAATCATCTCATCTGTACAAGTAGCAATAAATTTGTCCCCATTTATGTGGCAAATACTGTAATCTTAGCAATGGATTTATTATGCATTGGCCGATATAATCCGTGTGTGGATGTGTGCGGATCGAAGTGGGGTTGTCTCATAGGTTAGGGAGGCAAAGAACTAAGTGGTGAGGATGTAGGGTGCTGCAATTTCAAATTCTGAGGTGAAGTGCAACGTTGTTGATCTATAAACTACTATTGATTAAAATGTCAGTTCTCTTCATACTGAGCTAGGCAACTTCTACTGTAAGTTTAATGGGAGGTGTTACTGTGATTTTGCACATATCTCCTGTAAATGTACTCTCCATCGGTTTGCTACACAAGTCATTCCTCTGTTCTCTCGAAGGCTTCTCTCAAAGCCGGGTGGGGAGGGGAGAGAGAGGGTGAAAAACACAAACTAAAGTAAGGACTTTTTGTAACTAGATGTTTATCAAATTTAGTGGACTATACTTTTGGAGTATTGTGTGACTTCCCCATCAATAGTTGACTGTTTCACCAATCTTAACATGTAAGCTTCAAATAAAGTGTTTACCTCAGGTAGTACTGCTTTAAGCAAACTCTCTTTTCATTTGGTCACATAAGACTTTGCTTTCATCCTTTATATCTTGATGACTCTCTGAATCAGTGACTGTTATCCAGATGGATTTTCACTGGGACTGACACCTGCCTACTATTAGTTATTTGAATATCTGGATGGATGGGTTTCCCCCTGCTATTGGAATTTTATTGGCAAAGTGATAGATTTGCTGACTTGAAGATTCCCCTCCCTAAGCCCCCACCAACTGCAATCCTACAGGCTGGTTTCTGTACTTCCTACTTTAATTTCTAATGGGAACTGGATGTCTGTATCCCTTAGACCAGCTTTGAAAATCCCAGCCATAATGGGACTTATGTGATATTTTCCCTTCTGATTATATTTTGTAATATCTTGTGTTCTGCTCAACCCTGTACAAAAGTATTTGCATATTTCTTTTTTAAAAAAGTATTGAGAGAAATGAGGGGGTCATATTTGCATATATAATTAGGCAAATAAGGCCCACCCTTTCGCATACAGTGCAAGTGGACTCAGGTGGCTGCAGAGGTGTCTCTGGGTATCTGGACAGATGATGTCATAAAAGTAGTAAGTGCCTTGCCAGGCACAGGGGCTTGTCACAAACCCAGAAGTGACAGGCATAAAATGCCATACTCACCTAGCTTTCCATTTTTGGCACATAGATATATTTGACAGGGCACCACATTTGGGATGTTTCAGTGAAATCTGTATGAGTGGAGGGGGGTGACTTTCTTTAAAGATCACGTTCAATTAGAAACACCTTTTCCCATGTCCATTCATTGAACCTGGACTCTTCTGTATTATCACCAAACTGAAATAAAGGTATTGTTTTGATACATTTATCCTCAAGTGTACAGGATACTATATAACAAAAAATGTTTTCCTCCTTGTTTAACATTTCTGTGAAATTTAAATTAAATTTAACCCATGTTTGCTTTTCAGTAGCTGCGTGAAAAATTCTTTGAAAGAAAAACTATACAATTGTGGTTTCTTTGAACAGGTACTTTGTGCTGGATTTTGAGACTGGGATTCTTCAGTATTTTGTGAATGAACAAAGTAAAAACCAGAAGCCACGAGGAGCCCTGTCTTTAGCTGGAGCTATAATCTCTCTCAGTGACGAAGTGCCACACATGTTGGTAGTATACTTTGCTAATGGAGAGATATATAAACTGAGAGGTATAGTAATCTACTAGCTACTTCTTAAACATGCTTATATAAGACTAGCATTTCCTCCCATTCTTGTAACTTTTTTCGTCTTTACCTTCTTTCACAATTATGACAAAAAATCAAGTTGAAGTTATGTTGATTATGGCTACCTTACTGCATGCTAGACAATACAGTAGAAAAATAACCTGCAATTTTGTACATTGCCGTAGGAAATTATACAATCTACTGTTATGGTGTCATAACCGTGGCATAGGGATGGTGCAGTATTGTTGGTTGGCTTGATGTGTGACAAATCTCAGTCCAATATACTTGTATTTAAAAAAAAAAAATTGTGGTGAGGGTTAGGCTAGATTTAACAATTTAACCGCAAACTAGCTAGCCATCCTATTTTAGAATTTACTGTAAAGCAAACAGAAACCCTAATGAAGAGGCATAAAGATTTGAACACAATATTTAAATTGCATAGACATTTGGATGCGTAGCAAAGTAACAAAGGGATTTTCTGTCAAGGAGCTTAGTTTTTGAACAGTTACGATTAGTGTACTCATAACTTCTACAGTGCTCTGCCCACTGACTGAGATTTACAAGATTACGCACAGCAGCATGCTGCTTATTACTGAATTGTTGTACTGGCAACATAGCTGATGAGAAATTTAATAAAATATTCCCTCTTCTGTTCCCTTATTGTTAAAATTAATTTGATAATTTGAATTACCATTAATCTGAGATTCAGCAGTACGTGTAATTTTGTATTTGTGTTCTTAATGTTGATATGGCATTTAATGATGATTCAAAGTGGTTTGCTAATAAGAATTTTTAGTAGTTGATACATCATAACTGAATTATACATTTAATACTCTCTTATAGAATGCGTACTAGTATAAATTGCAAACACTGTTTTCCAATAATTTTAAAGGTGGTGTGCAAAGGGGAGAAAAATTGAGCTTGTGCCCTTTTATGCTGCTTTTCAGTGCATCAAGGCAGCATGTTAGGGTTTTTAGAGATTTTTAGTCAGACTATAAAACTCTTACTGAATTGAATTTACTTAAATTTTTTGGGAGGGAGGTTGGTAAAACTTACTTAACTTCAGTGATTGATTAACATGTGAGTGGAGGAAGACTTTGTTAAAGATTCAACATCCTTGTGCACTTCAATGTAATGGTTAAGTATTCACAGCTTCTGACACCCAACAGTCTTCCAGAAAAACTACACAAAACCAACTTTACATTCTTGATATATCTAAGGCTGGATTTAAACTTGAAAGTTTTACTGGTCTAACTTTTGGATAGGGATACAATTTATTTATTTTACTTTTTACCCAAATAGTTATACTGTTGCAGACCCTAGTGTGGATAATTATACTGGTGTAAAGGCGGTTTCTTTCAGTACATGTATTCCCCTTCCCATATGGGAATAGCTGTACCAATATAAAGAACCTTTACACAGATATAACTGCATCCACACTACGGGTGGGTTGTACTGGGATAGTTTAAAGTGGCACAACTTTCTAGTATAATAAAAACCCTCTTTAAAAAAACCAATCAAAGCACAAAAAATCACCAGTTTTTATTTTTTTAGGCTTCCTTTATATACCATGAAGAAGGAGGAAAAAAGGCAACTTTTTAAGGTCTCAAAAGCACCTGCCAAAATAATATATTAAACTAATTATTTAATTAAATATTTCTTACTTCATCTTTTCCATTGCAAAGTAAAAATAGTTAAATTGATTATTTGGGGTAATCTTTATTTGGGAGCAAATTTTAAAAAAAATCTTGATGATTTAGTTGGGAATTGGTCCTGCTTTGAGCAGGGTGTTGGACTAGATGACCTCCGGAGGTCCCTTCCAACCCTGATATTCTATGATTCTATGATCTAATTCACAAAGTAACTGTATTTTAATAAATAAGAGTTTTTACTGCATCATATGGATGAATTAGCTGTGGAAAACTAGTTGTTTTTCTTCTTTCTTCAGTCACAGAGTATCTTCTTAGGTTGAGGCTTAGGCTTTGTCTCTGAGAAAATGTTACTGATTTAACTAAATTGGTTTAGCCTGGTGCACTTTTACAAGGCCTCATGCAATAAATAGACTTTTAATTTCACTTAGGTAAGGTACTTTTAAACTGTTATCAAGTGCTGGAAACATTCCCTTTTCTGTAATGTCAATTGGCTTATGCACAATTCTTGCACTTTTTTGTTTCTGTTCTAGCTGCTGATGCAAAGGAAAAACAATACTGGGTGACTCAGCTCCGATCCTGTGCCAAATACCACACGGAAGGTAATTCTAAGGTAAATAATAATGGGAAAGAAATAGCATTGTTGGATATAACTGGAGTAAGTGAAGAACAGGATAACATGAAAAATTAATCCATTAATAACAGCAGTCAACTTCTATTTGTATAGCATTTTTTTACATTTCTCTCAAAGCCTTTCATAAATAACACACGCTAGTGGTGTCTATTCTGCCTACATTTCAGCTTTTAAGATAAAGTAGCATGAGTAAGTGTTGAGAGGGAGGTAGATTGACTAGACAGTGGAATTTAGGGATTTCCAAAGGGAATAAACCTAGGAAGATATTGTGATTGCTTCATATCTTTTGGTTAATGTATGGCACTTCAGACCTCTGAAGTGTGTTACTAAACAGCTGGAATAATAAAGGTTTAATAGGTTAGGACAGTAGCTGGGAAGTTAGTCCATACATAGACTTGGGTATGAAAATGATTATACTGTGTGATAAGGCAGCATATCAATGTGGTAGTATAAATCACTGAAAATTGTTTGGTTTCAAAGAATAATTGGTGGTCTTGTTTGCTCCCAAAGTTAGATAAGAAAAAGTTGAGCTTGCTAACATTTTACAAATTGAAGTGTGGAATTCTTGAAAGATGTAAAGTGAATATTGAGGGATAATATGTAATTTTTCTTCTTTTACAAAGAGGGGACTTGGTTTGGAGGATAGATAATGATATATGGAATCCAACCTCTGCCGCTGGTTCAAATCTGGTCTGTCTATGGCTCAAGTTAATAGTTTGGTGATCTGTGGGTTTGTCTACACTAGTTTTTCAAACTTGAGTTAATTGATTGCTAATTAACTTGAGTTATCTAACACGTTTGTACACATTAGTCTGGACACTCCACAAAAGTTTGTCTGTCTACCCTCTACCTAATGTAAACCATTTGTGTTGTGGAACAAATATTTGTGAAGTGCCAAGACTAGGGTGTACAAATGTGTTGGCTAACCCGAGTTAATTAGCAGTCAGCTAACTTTAGTTAAAGGTTCTAGTGGAAGGATACCCTTTGTGAAGTGAGTCGGTAATCTCATTCCAGTTGTTAATAGTGGGCAGTTTCCCAGCATCTTTACTGATCCTTTCCTAGCTTTAAATACTAAGTTTTCAATTATTTGATTTTACATTTCTTTTTAGAAAAGTAGGCTTTTTTTATTTGCCACCTCAAGTGGATAAATCCTGATCTTGTTCAAATTCTCTATTTTTAAAAAAACCTCCCCTCTTGATTCATGAAAATGTAAAATTGAAACTGAGCTACATAAAATAAGTAACTTACAGGAGAAAAACAAGTGCATTTTCTAGATTAAAATTTTGATTTAAGGGGAACTGGGTGTCCATTGCATTTTAAACATATAATAATATTAGTGAACAAACCATGGAGGATCGTATCTAAAATACAGATTAATATTAAAAATTCAGAAAGAAACAGAGAGACTGCTTGGCTCCCAGCAGTAATACATGAATATTCATGTCTGAAGACATAGACTTATTTATAATTCAGATAAACTAAGTTAATTGCTTATTTTTCTAGGAGAACACACAGTTTAGGGAAGGGGGCTCTCAAACTGTTCAAAGCTCATCTTAACAGAGTTATTGTCTGGTGGACCCACTTCCCTTTCCTGTTCATTATAGTGTGGACTACCTCCCCTTTGTTGCTGATCAAATAACACCCTCCTGGCATCTGCAGCAATTGCTTACATGGGAAAGTACATTACATGTTTTCCTAATTTTACTTTAGTTTCTTTTGAGTGCAGTTTAGCAGCTGGAAACCTAGAGGAGAGTAGCACCATGTGGCTAGCAGGCACTCCATAGACAGCTGCTGGTTTGTGGACCAGACTTCAGGAAACATTTGTTTAGGGCAGGCCTGCACAACTCGTAAAGCAGCGAGGGCCATATTACTCCAAAGAAAACAGCTGAGGGCCGAACCCCACCCCCCCAGCGCTGCCGAAACACCCCCCCCAACGTTGCCCAGCCCCCCCGAAACAACCCCTCCCAGCACCGCCCGCCCCGCGGAAACAAACCCTCCTTCCCTAGCACCGCCCCACCGAAACAGCGTTATTGAATCTTGGTAATATGTTATAGTGGGCCCCTAAGGTAGTATAATTAAGGTAAAAGAAAACTGTCTTTTTGCTAGAAGTAGAATAAGATCTTCCCTCCACTTTGTAATCAATTGCCCTGTTGTGTGAATGAGGAAGGCGTGGAAGGCAGGCACCTCCAGACAGCCGCAACCCTTGGAGAGGGGATCGGAGCCAGACCAGATCAGTAGAACAGGTCAGCCACCAACTCGCCGCTCGCCTCCTCAGCCCCCCACCCTGGCCGCTGGCTCACCTGCCCCCCCCGCCATTGCCCACCCGCTCGCCTTCCCTGCCGCTGGCTCACCTGCCCCCCCAGCCACTGCCTGCCCACTCGCCTCCTCAGCTCCCCTCCCCGGCCGCTGGCTCACCTGCCCACCCACTTGCCTCCTCAGCCGCCAGCTCACCTGCCCCCCCGCCATTGCCCACCCACTCGCCTTCTCCGCCGCTGGCTCACCTGCCCCCCCCCCCC